ACTCATAGCAGATGGCCAGTTTGGGTTCTTTAAAATATACGATTTACAGAGCTTCCAGTAGAGCTCTCTCACAAGAAAAATAGCGCACACAGTCAGACCTGCTGCTGCAGAATTACAGGTGGCTAAATGGTATGCTGAGACTCAGGTTAGACAAGTGGAGCAGCCCATTAAAAAAGCAGAAGATTCACAGTGGAGTTTCATTCGGGGTTATCTTTCTCAATTGTGCACGTATATTTGCAGTGCCTGGATTTTGTTATTTTCTCCATTTTTCACTTTAGGTGACTAATTACCAAGCCCATATTCTGCGTGATTTAATTTTCAATCAAATCAAAGCTAAGTAAGAACTGAATCTTCTGCATTTGTTGTGGAATAAAATTGGGCCAATTTGCATTTGGTTCCAGATTTGGTGTTCATTTTAATTTGGCATGCGTCCTAATAAAAGATCAGACGCTCACCAAAAAAGGATTTTGGGTGATGAGCACAATTGTTTGTAATCCCCGTGAAGGCAGATAGTGATGTGTCTTTCAGTCTGTGAGTAGTGTTGCTCACCTCAGTGTCACCATTTAAGTTCAATGTGTTTTGTGTTCTTCGCAGGATTAAAGTTAAATTGGCTTAAAGGCACCACTCTAAAAAAACAATAATATTCTTGCTCTCTAATTGCAGTTCTGTCTCCTCCTATATATTGGCAGGTTTAGGGGCATCTGCATTAAATCTTGGTTTGTTTTCTCTCTCTTAAAAAAAAAAAAAAATTATATATATATATATATATAAACAAATATGTATATATAATAATAATAACCTGTACATAATAATATAGCTTTGTCTACTGAAATATTCCAGATCCAACCCAATCTAAAAGCTATGTATATGTGGATATGTGTTAATTTATGTGCATGTATATCAACTGGATTTGTGATGTATATACAGTAATTGCCTTTAAATTTTTTCCAGGTTTGTTGAAGCTAAATACTTAATCTTACCTTGGTATTAAGAAGTTACAAAAGCTATTTTATGTCTTGAGGTCTAGCACTTGTTCAGACAGTGAACAGTTTTGATGTGCAGTCACTGCAGGGGGAACCAGCAGGTGTTGAGTCCACTGTAGTAGACGTCCAGAAAGTTCTTTGTGATATCCACTTTGCAGTAATTCCCCTGTTGGTCCTGGATCCTACAGCTTTGCTTTTACATACACAATTGAGCTTTCCCTATGCAGCATTGACAAGCCAGGGTCTGGGACTAGTGGGACAGGAATCTCAGTAACTCACCACGGGGCTCAGTGTTAAGTCTCATCTGGCACTCCTGTTCCTTTGTGGATGCTTTCAGATACCTTATTCTGTTACAGCTTGTTCTTTAGGATTATTCTGTGATGGGAGGGGTTAAAGAAGTAGCTATGCACAATGTAAAGGCCGTTTCTGCATTAGATACTTTGCTTTGGACCCTGAAATATATGGGGGAAAGGAATTCAGAGTGCTGGAAACAAAGCTAATGGTAAAGTGAGGTTGTACAGCTGGGTGTCTGCTGGGCTCTCAGGTAATGGGTCTCTAGACTCTGGTCTAGAGAAGACGTGTTCCGAGGAGGGAACCATCCCAGAATCAGAAATGACATTTTTAGTCCACTTGATTGCTCATCACCGTGAGCAATTCTGTTTTGATTTTTCTGGAACGCACATCTTGAGGCCTGTGTATTTAGGCTACAGCAAAACCTGCAGACAACAAGGGGTAATCTTCTGTATTTTCCACTCTTGGAGGGGGAAGTATTTTAATCTCTAGTAAGGCAGCTATAGGTTTATTTTCATGTACCGTGCAGGATATTCAATTACAATGATGAGACTCCACAGGAGGAAGCCACATAGGTAGGTGTGGTGCATGCATGTAGCTTTGCACACAGCTCCCCTGTTTGTCTGCTCACATTTTAAAAATGTTAAATATCCAAGGGAAATGTGGCATGCAGATTGCACGACGAGGCATATTCCCATTTATTGTATCTGTTTTCTTTCTTCAGTCCCTGAGCTTTAAAGTCTCCTGAATTTCAACAGGGCTTGTATGGCTGCGAGTTCTTTTTTGCTTCTTGGTATCCTGTATTATATCACTCTTGCAAAAGTATGTGGCTGCTGTAGAGATGACAATGGGAGTGTGACCTCACTGTTCCATATGGAGTAAGTAGGTGAGGGCTGAGTAGTAACTGTTCCCCTGCGCTGCTATCTTCAGCAGCTTTAAAAAGTAGAAGGCAGAACAAAACAGAAAAGTTGAGTTGTTTTCAAGAACGTTTTTACAGCTTTCCATGAGATGCCAATGGCTTCCTAATGAGTAAAACATGTTAATGCGCTTTTTGTAAGATTCCACTAGTAACAGAAAAAGGACAAACTCTCTTCAGGAGTTGCTTTGGCTTTTTTTCCTTTGAAAAGTTCCTGTGCCTGTCAGCCTTTCTGGAAGAAAGAAAGGCAAAGGAAGTCTAGTAGCAAGGGAAGCTGCTCTGGGAGGCACAATCCATCTACCTGCCCTAATGCAAGCTTCCTTGGGAGCTCCAGCTCGGAGCAGATGCTGTTTAGCTCTTCATTTATGGTGCAAAGCTGAAACCTGTGTTGCTTTGTGATGGTTGCAGAGCTCTCAGACACTGCAGGGAGAGAGGCTTAGGAGGGCTGGAGACATTGAGCAGCGTGGTCATCAGGTGCCCCTAGACCAAGGAAAGCTCCTGATATACATGGACACAGGAATGCAGGGCTGCCAGCTCTCCTGTGTTGGAAGTGGCCAGCTGAAATCCCGTCTCACACAGCTACGCTGGCTGTAGCAAGTTACAAAACGCCAAGAAGTTTGATACATAACACAACAATTCTGAAAAAATGTTGTCACAAGCTGGTGTCAAGTTGTTTTGCTCTCACAGATAAGTATTTTTGGAACTTCCCTATCATGATGTTTTATGGCTTTTATGTGCTCTATTGTTATTTTTAGTCATCTTTTCGGAGGCTGCCCTTTTACCATTTCAGTTTCCCTTTCCTTCAGAGTTATAGCTGCTTAGTTAACTTAGCCAAAAAACTTATCTCAGTAGAAGTTTCTTCTAACAATAAATTAAGCTTTTTTTTTTTTTTCTGGCGATTTCATTTTGCTCCTCTTTTTGTTTTCATCAAGTCCCTTCTTTTATGCAGTAAATGTTGACTCAGAGCTCCACAATATTTTAAATTGATTAAAATTCAAGTGTTTTGTCATCGATTCAAGATAACAGCACCTGAAGAGGTTGTCCAGGTCCCCCTTTGCTTTAACGCATGATTATTGTGTTTGGAGTCAGAGGAGAAGAAGGTTTAATTTTAAATTTCTAATCAATAGAAAATCCATAGTGTTTTTAATCATTCATTCTACCAGTGGCTTTGCCTAAGCTATGGGATGTGATTTGTGCTCTGGTTCCTCCTGGCAGGAAACACAGCTGTGCTGCCCTGCATGGCACTGGAACGTGCCCAGGGGACATCCCCAGCCTGGATGCTCAGGGAATGGTGCGGGGCTTTGTGCTGAGCACACCTGCCTGCCTGCTCGGGTGCAGCCATTGCATTGTGAGAGTTGTCACTGATGTCAGGAAATCCCAGTGTGTCCATTAGTGCTTGTAGGTTTAAATGCCATCTGTATTTCCCTCTATTTGCAGGTGGGTATGCTCTGGTTGCCATACTGTGGTTTCACAACTGCTAATTTTGTGTGTCGGTGTGATGGTGTCTTCATGCCCAAACATGAACTCCTACCATTCAATAATTTTTTTTCTACGCATGTTTTTCTTGAGAGTGCCCCTAAAAAGCAGCGCTAGGAGCTGTCTGGTGCTACTGGTAGTAGGGGAGAAGAAATACTGTGAAGAAATTCAGTAACTACATCAAGTCAGGTGTATTACAGAAGCATGAAGATGAAATCCCACCAGACCCTGAATGCTACAGAAATATATTTAGGCAGTGATGCTAATAGCTTTATCTCCTGGGTCTATAGGGTATTCACACTTTTTTCTCAAAATACATGGCACAAATCATCACTTCAATTGCATAGTGAAACTAAAGAACCGCTGGTTGTTGCTGGTTTTGAAGGTTAAGTAACCTCTATCAACATCTCTTTCCACCCTCGACTCTCTCTTCTCCATAGCTTGCTACGGAAAGAAAACAGTCTTGTTGCAATGGAAGATTGATTCTTGTGCAGCTTTTAAGATCTAGCAAAATGTGGTTTCATAACCTTTGTCAGCTAAGCTTGTGGCCTTTCCTAAAAAGACTGTTGGCTGACAAATTTATAGCAATCTGGTCTGTATATAGACTATGAATTCGGAAACTAATGGCTAAACCGTAAGGGGAAAATCTGTTCTGTTTATTGGAGAATTTACAAGTACCACCTTCCTACATATTCTGTATTTTTCCTTCTTTCTCTTTTCTTCCATTAAGTGATTCCCTATTCATAATGCTTATATTTATCTAATTCTATTAATGACTTGCAATAGGTATTATTTAAACATGTCCCAGTTTTCTTACTGCTATGGCAGACATGAGAGGGGTTTAAAAAAATGTCTAAATGTCATTGTTTTCTTTCCCCTTTTACCGATTATGTCTAACAGCTAAAAAGGGTCCTCTGAAAGGACCTAACTTGGGAAAAAGTGGCATCCTTAATTGTTCTGATACTCGTTGGTTACAGCAGCAATTGGTGACAAGACGCGTAGTTCTGTTGGCGTGTCTTATGTGTTTGTCCTCTGCATCACAACAGTCTTTCTTTTCCTAAATGGACCTTATTTTGGAAAAAGCTGGAAAATTGATTTTAAGTAATTTCACGGTACTTTCAGATGATTATTATTTCCAGAACTGTGCTGTAGCTTTCTAAGATATTTTTAAGTACTCCATGTAATTATTCAACAAGCACCTGTCTCATAAACTCTGTTGTCCAAAACAATTACCAAGTCATTTCTGATCCCAAAGGATTTTTAATTTAAAATGCTGTGTGCATGATACAGACTTGTAAAATTCTCATTTTACAATGTGGTGCTCTTTGTTCTAGGAATGTTTACAAGGATTACCGTTTCCTTGAACTAGCCTGTGACTCCCAAGAGGAGGTGGATAGCTGGAAGGCATCTCTGCTACGAGCCGGTGTCTATCCTGATAAATCCTCAGTAAGTTAAACAGCTCACTAGTTTTCCAGTAGCTGCTCTGTTTGAGTCAGAAAAACAATCATATCATCTGGGAAAACACAGTGTCTGCAGATTTCTCAAGAAATTGTAGCCTTTTCACTGAACTCTTATGTGGTAACTTTTAAATATAATGAAATACCTTAAGAACAATTTGTGTGTCAAACCTCAATATAAAAAAATTCCAAAATGTTATTCATTGGAACTGCGTAGTAAAAGTGTTGAGCAAATCGGATTTTTCTGAGCTTCACTGTTTCTATGAATGTCTTCTAAGGTAAAGAAGTTTATTCCTGCAAGCTCTGTATTACAGAACTGACAGAGGCATTCCAGGCAATCATGTATATTTATTTTACTGATTCACTGCATGTTTTTGTGTATGAAACACATGCTAAACCTTTCCAAAGACTGTTTTACTCTGCTAATCATGTGAAGCAAATTGAACAGGAAATAGTCTTTAAAAAAAAAAAAAAAAAGAAAAACACAAAACCAAAAACCACCTCTATTAATTACACAGAAAAGACAGAAAGTTGGGAAATGGACTATGCCCAACTATCATTTCATATTTCTTGGATTTCGTCATTTTTGTGTTTGCTCGTTTATATAAGCCTGGGAGGAGTTGGCGCTGTTCCTGAGGCCCAGCTTCCTCAAATGCCCATATAGCCGAGGCCATAGCAATATGGACTACAGCACCAGACCCAGATCTTGATGTTGAATAGCAGAGCTGCTTGAAGACCATTCAGACTCCAGCTACTCCATTTTATGGATAAGGTTTCCATTTTGAAAGGCCTTTGCTGTTCATGACAGATCTGCAGTAAACACGTCTTTTTCTCCAAGTTCTGGAACTCCCAGGGGATTCAATCAGTGTGTAAGGGGGGTTCCTCATTTTTGGATTTCTTTAAAATAATTTTGAGCTTTGTGCTTGAGTGGTTTGAGATGAATTTTTTCTTCAGTGCTTTTCTCTATTGCTGTTCACCTCAGCTTTAATACTGAGTGAAGGTTTGAGGAGATGTATCCAGAGAGAAGGCTGACTTTAGCCAAAAATATGTCAGTTGAGCTTTTGAAAGTTTCCCCAATACATGGTTCACCTTTTTTTCAGTAAGTCCACTGGGTACCTTCAGGGGAAGATCTAGTCTGGGAAATGATGTTTTGATTTTGATGGAATTTTTTCCTGTTCCTGCTTGTTTCCTATGGAAAGACTAGGTTCCTTGAGCCCAGGCTGCTGCGATGTCTTCCATCTTCTTTGTCTCTCTCTTCCTCATACCTCCCTTATACTTGTGATACCTCCATGGTTTCCAGTATAATTCTGCAGAATTCTGCTATTTATGCACCAAAGCAACTCTCAGCTTTCTCTCTTCATACTAAGTTTTAAGGCTACCAACAAAAGCTAAATCAAAGAATCCTTGAACTACTGGCTTCTCCAGTTACTGCAGGAATGAACAGTGAGGATAATAATGATGATAATTAAATAGGTGTCCTGCTAAATTTACATTTCACCTGTCAAATATCTCAGGTTTTACCTTTTTTAAATACATGAATGTATTTTTGATGACTCTTCAGTATGTTGCCTGTTCCAGTAGATCTGTTCTTAGATAAGACCATCAGAAGTCATTTTAGAAGGTTTAGTTATGAGAGGTTATCTAATTTTTTGCTAAGATCAAAATACTGCGTTTTGTTTTCCTGCTCAGGTTATGATGTCAAAAAAGCTGATTTAATCTTGTGTTCTGTGACATATTTGTCACATATCTGATGCTTTATCGATTAAAAAAAAGGGCACGCTAGTTGGGTTTCTAAACTTCTGTCCTCTTGACCCTTTCTCCCTAAAATATTTTATACTCAAAGTAAGTTTTCTGAATAACTCTCATTGTTTTTGTTTAAAGTTAGTTTGTCAAAGCACTCTTAGATACAAGACAAAAGTCTTCTTTGAAAGACAAAAGCAGGGGGGAGTCAGAATTCAGTTCTTCTCTGAGCCAGAGTTATCTTTACATCAGAAAAAGAGTGTCTAGCATTGTTCCAAAACCCTATAGTTTGAAATGCATCCAGTAGTCTATTAAGCTGTGCAGGAAAGATCGCTCATCCTGCTCCAGTCTGGCAAAGGATTTTGTTCCTACAGGACTCTAGGTCCAAACGCACGCTGAAAGTCTGCTCTTAACGTTCTGAGTTTTGTAAAGCAAAAGCTCCAAGGCCCAGGGTACCTTGGAAACTTCATCCAAACTTTTCATTAAAATCATATGCCTGCTCCTCAGTTCCCCATCTTCCCCTGACGATATAAAATAGTTTTAGAGACACCCACCAGTCTTTTATTCTCCTTCGAAGATTTAGAGACCCCGTTTTCATCTAAGAGGCGCTGCCAGGAAATGGCAGCAACTTGTGTTTGCTGCGGTCCTTCCCCGCAGCTTTGCAATCCCAGCGTTAAAAAGGCACGGAGGGACCCCAGCCCCTTCCCGGCTGACCTCCTCGCTCTTTTTCCCGTGTGAGTTACAGCTGGTAACTCCGACTCTCCAAGGCTTTGGCACCCGAAGTAGAAAAATTGCTGCTTAGAAATGAAAAAGAGATTAATAGTGCTGTAAACCTGGAGGACTGCAGTGGCGAAGCTGGCCTGCTTTCTGTAACTGCCAGAGCAGCGTGCACAGCCCGGAGCCTGAAGGGAAGCTGTGTGCTTTCATTACCAGCTCCGCCGCTCGTGTGCGGGAGCGCCGATAGAAAACCCGACGCGCTCGCCCCTAGTTGGGTTCCTTCTGCGGTGGCAGGAAAAGTAGGAATTTGTCACCAAATTAGAGAGATTTGTTCTGAATTCTCACCAGGAAGAAATCTCTCAGCTAAGAATATTCCTTTTCCTCTTGTTTTTCTAGTAGTGCTACTTAAAAGTGTCTGATGACAGTGGTAATGGGGCTCAGGCCATGCGGCCACTAATAGGAATTCCCCAGTACTAATGTGATGCTGTAAGCTAAGTCCAAGATTGACTTTTATTTTTTCTTTGTGCCTAAACAAAACTCATTAAAATATTAAAAATTACAGGCAAATATTCCCCCATTCCCCCATTTCCTTGCTTCCTTCTGCCTGCCTTCCTTGCCCTTCTGCACACAGAGACGCGTGCTCACACTCATGTGCTGCACTCCTATGTTCACTCTCTTGTGAACTTATCTTTAATCACCCCTCCAAGTTTCTCTGTGAGTCCCCGAATTCTTTTGCACTTTGCCAAGTCACCACTTTCCCCCAGGAGATTTGCTTTTGTCAGGACGTGGGCTTTGACAGCCACCCGGATAGCAATGAATCAGTGTTTTTATTTTTCCAAGCCATATGCAAGTCAGCTTGCTTGATATAAATCACACTGTGGCCAATTCACTTTGAAACGGGATATCCATTTACCAGCTGACTTTACTGCTGGCTTTCTCTATGGATGCATCCAAACCTCCTTTTTGAAAAAATGACTACAACTTTGTGACTAACCTTTCCAGACTGTATTTCTCAACTGTAGGCTGGTGTTTGTTTTGGCTGACTTCCCACTGTATAATATACACTGTTCGTGCCAGCTCATGGCAAAGCTCACAATTAAAAATAAAAAAAAAAAAGGCACAGATGTTCGTCGTAACTTGTAACTTGTTCTGCACACTCTACCTTGCTAGCACTATCCATTCTTTTCCCATTTTTCCCTAATGCCACCTCCTCCTTACTTTCACTGCTCATCTAAACGTACAACATTTGCTTTTTAAAAAGCTTTGGGTCGGGAAACTTTCCATTCATTGGCGTGTCGTAGGGAGTAGCTGTCGTGAAAGGGTAAGCAGACACATTTAGGGGGTTGCTTTGCGTACTGGAAGTTCAGCGTTACCAGTGCACGAAAATCCTGCTGGCTTTGGTCCCATCCCTAGATCATTTCAGGCCTTGTTTTCCTCTCCCTTGTATTAGTGTCCACCGACTTCCCTGGAGCTGCTCCTGATTTACACTGGAGGAAGCAAAAGTGGAATCAGAATGTTTGTGTAGAGAGGAAATTTTGAAAAACAGTGTGAATTTACAGCTTCGCTGAGCATTTTAAATCCTTCGCAAATGTCCTGCGCTCCCTGGAAGCTGTCTAACGAAAGGATTCAGTGAATGTTCTTTGAGTCAATTCATTTGGTTTGAGCCATTTCCAGAACTGTGCGAGTTCGACGGAATGTATGTAAAATAAATGTATCTAATATTTCTTTTTTTTTTTTTCCCTCTTTCCTCCTTGCTGCATCCTGCAAAGGGGAACAACAGAGTAAGTTCTTTGTCCTTTTACAAAATCCTTTTGTATCCTGTCTCAAGGGTTTTGCCATAAAAATCAGTTTATCTTTTGTTTCACACAACTGTTGCCTGCGTACTCTTAAGAGCAAACTCCTGTTAGAAATGTGGGTACAAAAGTGTCTATTAATAGAGCTTCAGTTTAATTTTGGGGGAAGGAGATGTGTTAAGTGGTGCTGAGTGTTGTTTTCGAAGGCATTTCAGTAAGAACGGGACTATAAAACAGTATTGGGACCAAAGATTATGAAGGTATAGTAATAAAGACCTTCTGAGGAAAGGTTACTACAGTCTGATGAAACTCATTACAGCTGGATTTTTTGACCATACATCAAAGCTTGTATTAATGGGCAGTTATAAAAACCCAGCACTAAAGTCTTAAATAACAGATTTGCTGGCGTTGTTGGCTAAGCTGAACTAGATCAGTGTACTGGCTTTGAAGGTGCCTTAAAATGGATGGAGGAGGGTGGGGTCAACATTTGACTTGGCTTCTAGACCCTTGATGTGTTCCAGCTGGACAGCAGCAGAAGGGTGTGGGGTGTGGAGAGGGAGAGCTGAAATATGCATGGTAGATTTTTTGAAACTAAGCAGCACATAAAAAGACAGTTTTGCTGATGTTGATCTGATAAACTAATAATCAAGCAGTTCCCAGGGTTTGTACGTTTTGTGCCATTTTTACTTGAGTGTAAGAATGGAAATTTCACATCTCACACTTTGGAATATGCGGCAGAGAGAGTTTGTCATACCACGGAAAGAAGTTACACAGCTTTTGTGCTTTTTTTTCTTTCCTGTTGTGGTTTATTAACCCTTAGGAGGATGTGGCTGGAACATCAGAAGATGCTTTGTAGCAAATGCTGAAGCTAGCCCCTGAAATATTGTCTGTGGTATCTTGTTGTGAGCTTGTAGTGTTTCTCAGGTATTTGGGGAAGACCCAGGTGGGTTTTAAAAGCTCTGAAGGTCTGAGAATTTGTCTGGTTTGAATTTTTGTGTTTTAACCACTTTTTGACTGCTGCTGTCTCCATGGTAACTGGGCTTGGAAGCACCAAAAATCTGCGTTTTGTTGGCCGGCCTGCCTGAGAAAAGGGGCTTTTGGTGTTGGGTGGGGAGAGGTTAGGAGAAGTGGTGCATTGATGGCATGGAGAGAAGGACTTCAGGTAGCAGCGGTGTGAAATATCAAGGTAATGTTTGTAATGTTTCTTTATGGTAAAGCTGACTTAAGGCTTTGCTGCTGGAGTGGATGCTGAGCTGATCTCCTGCTGAGAGATGTTAGGCTGTGCGTGGTCTGTCACGGGGCACCAGACATCTCCTGGGGCTGGCAGAAACTAAACCTGGAAGCCAGGAATCAGGTGGACAAGCTCTGTTCACCAGAGACCTGAGCTATGGGGTGCTTCAGGGAGGTCAGGACAAGTAGCGTCTGATCTGGAGTTAATTGGTAGCAAAAGGCAAAATATATGTATACAAGTGTAGGAGAAACCTGTGAGATTTGAGGTGTGGTGGAGCTGTTTGCTCTCCTTTCACTCTGAGCAGTTCTTGATGTGGGCTCACAAATAATTCCCTCTCCAGGCTGGGCTGTCAGCCAGAAGGTAACTCCAAAGCAAATCTCCATGAAAGCCATCCTGATCTTTCTTTCGGACCGAGATCCGTGTGGGGGATCATTGTATCCTCATCTGTGTCCCCTCCTTTCTTTCACACAAGCCGTTCATGCTCATTTCTGGAGTTTACGTATCCCAGTTAGGTGGGTAAAATTAAAGGCAGCTGCCTGTGGGCACTCAAATCCCAGAGACACCTTCAGACTTCTTCTGAGACTAGTTGCATGGAAAATGAAATGGGTAAATCTGAGAGGTGGTAAAAGAGTTTGAAGAGGGATTGGGAGAAGAGAGGAGCAGCAGGTTGTGGATCATGGTGGTTCTCAAAGCTGCGTCATCTTTCCTTGCTGTCCTGGTACAGATGAACAGGGCACCTAGCGAGGCTTTAACCCTCCTACTCCTGTTGCCTGGTGTGCCATTCACGCTGGGTCATGTCATACGTAAAGATCTCATGGTGCTGCTTTTGTGCCTCTGCCTTTAGCTTTGCCTCTTAGATTTGCAAAAGTAAAAATAAACATTGGAGTAACAAGTTCCTAAGAAAAAGCAGGGGGAGGGAAGAGAAGAGGGTTTATAGTCATCGGTGGACTACTAATCATTTTTATTTTTACTTTTTATTGTTGCAGTCATTAACGTAAGTGAGATTTCTCACATGGTTAAAAATAAATACATCTTCAAAAGCTTTGTTGGATCAGATCTGTAGAAGGGGTCGTTTGGAATGAGGTAATGGAGACCTACCTCATTCAGCAAGCACATGTTGGCAAGCCACGGCTCGCTAGCGTTTAAACTGAACTCTGCTCCGCAGTCCTGTGCAGAGGCGGGACAGGCAGAGCGGCGGGCAGAGCCCTGAGAAGCTGTTTGTAGTTCAGTCCAGATGCTGAAGATGCTGAGTGTCTTTATCTTTGTGAATTTGCTTCCTCCCCTGTGCATTTTCATCACCTTAATTTAAAAACAAAACAAAAGCCACCAGCCCTCCAGAGCCTGCTGTTTAAAAACATCAACCAAACCTACAACATTCTCATAAAGGTAATGAACATTTACATGATGAACATTTGAACGTTTACAGATTGCAAGGTTAACCAGATGCTGTGTCCTCCTGAAATTTTGATTTACCACTTAAGTCCTTAGGATTTGGAATCAACAACCACAAGATAAACAAAACCCCAAGGTGACACATTTTAATATAAAGAGTTCACCTTTCTTTTAGCATCCTTGAAACCTGTATTATCACTTCTGCTTAATTTAAAGGATCCAGCTCTTCAATGCTGAGGTCAATCTTGAGAAAATTTAACTTAAAAATTCAAAAATCTGATTAAACTGTATTTTTCAGATCAAAGACTTCAAAATCTTGCTAATTATTTTGAATTACTGTGCTTGCTGATACCCTTTACAAAGCACGTAGAACCGAAGTATCCATATAACATACCTGAATCTTGCCTAGTAGAGTTGTCACAGTGTGGATAACACCCAGCACATGAGCGTTCATCTAATATGAAGTCGTTATAGTTTAGATTGAAATTTCTCCTGAGAAAAACAGAATTCCCTTTGAAAAGAGAAGGAAAGTACTCTCCCTGCCAGGTCAGTTTTCATGTTATTGCTAAAAATTCTTCTTGGTGACGTATTAATTGCTTAGTTTCAAGTCTCTTTTTTTCCTTTTTTTTTTTTTTTTTTTTTTTTTTGGGGGGGAGTGGGGGGATATAAGGGTGGTGGGGGCAGTTTTGCAGAACCAGATTCCAAATCGGCTACTTCATTAAGAAGACCAGATGTCCTACTCTCTCTTGAGACATTCCTGGAAAATGGGAACTGAGACCGAGTGAAGTCAGGGCACTCATTCTGCCGAAGCGTATGACAGCAGCGCTCTCAGCTCATCTGTTTCGTGCTTGGCTATTGACATGTACACGCAGGTTCTGTGCCAGAAGCCACGCATATCTTTGCGTCGTAGTAGGGCTGCGATGCTCGCTTGCTTTTTCAAACCCAGCCATGTTTCTGAAGGGGCTTCAATTACCTGGTAGACACGCGCTCAGCCTCAGCCAGATGCTGGCTGCGGTGATGTTCTCCGAGCGTCCCAGCCAGATGCAAACTGAAAGTCGCTGCTTCTGCTCGGAAACTCCCGACGCCGCTCTGCAAGTTCAGGTCCTCAACTGGAGAAAGTAAAAACTCAGTTACGTTTGTTATACACCAGTAAGTTGAGCAGCAAATTTTGCTGATGTGCCAGAGGATAAAGCGGTGCACACAGAAGTCTAAACCGTGCATTGACTGCTTTTTAATTCAATATACACATAGATGTATTTTGGGAAAGAAAGGCTTTAAATTCTAGGAAAAGAAGAATCCCCTTCAGCTACGACTAAAATTGGCCTCAGGCCAAGTAGGTTTAAAAATAACTCTTAAATGAAGGAGTGTTAAAATATTTCTTAAGTGGGAGAAATGCCATAATTTTATAGACAGCGTTTCGGTTGCTGCTTCAGACAGACGAGCTGAATTTTATAGTGATGTCACGGTGTAAGGGAGCAGGGCAAGGGAGCGTGTGTGCATGCGCACCGCCGCTGGGTCAGCGGCAGTCCAAACTACAGGGAGGAAAGGAAATGGCAGGCTGTTTTTCACTGCCTTTCTTGCTGCCTTACGTTTTCAAGGAAGTGAAAACACATCTCAAATAAAAACAGCTTTCTTGTTCTTCGCACTATTTACAAGTTGAAACAAAAAGCTAGATGCAGCCTTGTTCCCCCCCAAACCAGAGCAGCCCTCTTTTATATTCTTGTAGGGGTAAAAGAATTGCTGGCACGAGAGAGTTAAAAATGTACAGGGGAAAAAGAGATTCATAGGATTGCATCAGTTGCACAGACTGTAACGAGATGCAGGCTTGCTAACTAAAGGATTTCAAAACCAGCCCCAGCAAAGCTGGTAACTGCCTCTATCAGGGGTCGGGCGTTCAATAGCTGTCACAGAGTTTTACATTTCTCCTATTAAATGGACCTGCTGACATTAAGCAAGCTCCAGGAAATTTAGAAATGAGCAAACAGTTTTTTTTATTTCTGTAATGTATTCATGGTGGGCTCTTTACTGTGCTTTCAGCAAGACATCTGCATATTAAAAATATTTTAGAATTCTTCATTTTTTATGTTGCAGCTGAGTTTTGCACCGCTTCCATTCTGATGAAGGATTTCACTGAAGCTGTGCAGAAAGGTGGAAACTCTCTGGTTGTTTCACAGCGTGGAGCATGAGGGTCAGCCCTGTTCTGGACATATATGCCTACTGAAAGGAGAAAGATTTGCCCTGGGGAAGGTAGTAAAGGCAGCCAACCTCTAAAGATGCTTCCCTAGCGCTGGTCAATGAGTGCCGAGAGTTGGCTGGCAGAGAAGGGTGCCTCTGGGCTGGGCTGCGTGGTGCCATACAAAGATCA